AAAGAGAGATAGGGAGAGAGGCTTCAACCTAGGAAGAATAAGGGCAACCTGTTTTTCAGTCAGTTAACTAGTCTTCAGACTCCAATGCTCCACTCCGTCACCCTGTAACTACCACACCTATACACCTTTACTTTTTTTGCTTCCCCCTTCCCCGACAGTTAACCTTAGGAGTACTTTTTGTGCTGTTGATTCATGTGCCCTATTTAGCTTTTGTGTGCTAGTCCTATTTGGACATGATCAGGTGGGCATGAGTGTGAATCCCCTTTGTAAATGTGTATGAAGAAAAAATTGAACACACCAAAAAAAAAAAAAGGAGTTAAAGAAAGATAGACGATAAAACTAATTCCTTTTGTTGTGCATATTATTTTGTGGTGTCCTTCATGTGTCGTGTCCCGATTGTTTTGAAATTTATCATGTTTATGTATCTGTGTCATGTCACATACATGCTTCTTAGATGGAGGATATTGCCCCTTATGAACATGATTACGTGGGTGTGGGTGTGGGTGTGAATACCCTTTGTAAATCTGTATGAAGGGGAAAAAATGAACATACCAAAGATAATAATAAAGACAGACAGACAGACTCGATAAAACTAATTGCTTTCATTATACAATTATTTTGCCTTGTCCAGATTGTGTCATCTCTTGATTGTTTTGAAATTATCACGTTTAAATGTATGTGTCATGTCATATCCATGTTTCTTAGATGGAGGATATTGAACAACTCAGCTTTACACTGCATTTTGTGATTAGATGTGTAATTTATAAAGAAAAGAAAAGGTGAATGCTCAACAATTCTTAGAAGAGAAGTCATTTTAAGGCTGCTTCATCCCCTTCTCTGCATTGATTTTGAGAATCAGAGCCTTAACTTGCTGTACCATTGCTGATGAGGGGGGTTTCTAGTTCGGAATACAATGTACTGTAGAGGTTTATAGAGATTGAGTGGAAAGCATATTATACTGTCAAACTCTGCGTTTTACCGTCTTTGGCTAAGTGTCTCAGTTATTTGTCTAGACACATAAATAAATGGTCCCTGTGGATCATGTTATGTTGATGCTTGTAATATTAGGCTCTCATCTGTCTGGAATTACTGCGGAAAACATTTTCAGTTATAAGACTTGTACTGTGGGTTGTGTGACTGTTGTTTTGGTTTAATGTTAATGGACCTGGTTAGTGATTTTCTTTCTTTTTGTTTCTATTGTTTGCTTTGTTTTTGTTCACGACATTAATTCTACCCTAACTAGTGGTCTCAGGGTAGGAGTTGGAAAATGGTTTACTGCTCTGTTTACAGGGAACCATATATCACAATCCTTGGGCCTTGATATATCTTGAGATTCTTGTTAGAAACTAACAAGTTGGGGAAGGTTTTGTGGCATTGATGAGGATATCCTTCAGATAATGGGACTACTTTGTGCACAACTTATAAGCTACCTATAGCTTCTTTTCTTTTTCTTTTTCTTTTTCTTTTTTCTTTTTTTAATTGTGTCAAATTGTTTAGTACAACTTCTGCTTACTGGTTATTAGGTAGAAATAGCTAAAACAACTAATTATCTGGAGATTTACTGGTGTGTGTCATTTGGCAGCTCATGGAATTGAATCTGATATTCATGACCCGCTCTGTAATGGTCTACTTATTAAAAACTCAATGTGGATAAACCTCCTCCTCTCCCATTGCATGAGGAGGTGCCATCATTGGTTCTTTTGGCGACTTTAAACCCGTTTCCAAGGAGGAGGAAGTCATCTTGCATTAGATTTGTCTTGCCTATTTATTTTTTTATGTTAGTGGTGAGGCTACGGCCTATGAATGAGTTCAGAGACATAAATGAGAGAAAGATGTTTGACATTCCGAAGTTTATCACTGTAGAAAGAAATAGTAAAAAATAAGAATAAGATAACCATATTTGATTATTTGAGTATCCCTTTGCTTCTCTACGTGGATTTTCTGTTGCATCTGTTGTCCTTGTATACATGGTGTGTTAGGAATCTAAAACCATGAACAATGCGGGCACATTTTGTCACGACCCCATTCCGCCCCTAGTAGAATGGTGCCGTGATAGCCAGTAATCCGAGATTACCGAAGGCCAACTTTCAAAATTCACACACAATCAGAGTATTACATATAGGGCTAACATGTGCGGAAGCAATATATTTAAATCTAAGTATGACATAGATCTTAGCATGGTTTTACAACTTGAATACAAATAAAATAAAGTACATGTTACATCTTGATCAAAAGGCTTCTTAAGTCGACATATACAAAATACATGAAATATAAAGTCAAGAAGCATAATTTTCAAGATGCCAACGTAACATGAATCCAAAAACATCTTGCAAAACAAAACATCTCGGCGTCACCGCCTTCATACTTGTTACCTACATATATATAAGGAGAGGATGAGTTTGGATACTCAGTGAATGGTATAAGTAATAAAGGGGTTAAATGAATGATTCCCGAGGTCCTTGTCAAAACAATACATATATCATAGCTTGTTCAAAACATGGGATGAATCAAGTTCATCAATCAAATCTTGGTCTTTCAAATCTTCTTGGGATGTTTAATAACATCTACATAATACATGGGGTGATGACAATCCTGACAAAACAAACCCACCCGTTCATAGACCGTCGGTGGCAAAACAAGACAAAACAAGGGAATAATCGACCCAGAATCGATTAGACAAATCCATCCGTACACCAAACTGTCAGTGGGGCCATCCATTCATAGACTGTCGATGACAAATCCACCCGTTCACAAACTGTCGGTGGGGCCATCCGTTCATAGACCATCAATGACAGATATCTCTCAAACGTGATGCTACATGGGCTTAAAGTCTCCTAGCATGGGAGGACTTTCCAAGAATGTCATTAAAACAAGATAATGCTTGATACAAAAACTAGGGATAATCATTCATGCTTGACAAATACTTTCAAAACAAAGCAAAGCAAAGCAAAGCCTTTATCAAAGCGTATAACATAACTTTATTAAAAATACCACTCACATAGTTCTTGGGACGTCGGGATCAAGGCAAAGGTCCAAGTCCTACAAACACATGACAAATTCTATTGAATGTACTCTTAAACACAAGCTTTACATGAATGCAAATGATCTAGGGAAAACATGCTAGAAGTTAAAACACTGTTTTTCATCTAGGGAAAACATGCTGGATTCTTCTAGGGAAAACATGCTGGGTACCAACCAGGTCCTGGAATGAATGCACAGAAATGATCTAGACTAAAATGACCTAGCTGGGTGAACTCAGGAGGTCTTGGCCGCGGTCCCACACCTCTTGGCCGAGGTGTGGTTACCTAGGCTTTAGTGTGCAGCTGTCTGCCGAGGTGTTACAAGGTGCCAGCAAGGGTGTACCATGGTCGACCTAGGTGTGCAGTAGTTAGCCTAGGTGTGCATGCAAGATAAACTAACGTGCAAGTGATCATGCAAGGTAGGCCAAGGTGAGATACGATGCTTGGCCTAGGTGTGTGATCTAGGCAAAAGTGGTCTCGGTGATCACACCTAGGGAAATGAAGCCTGGAAATCTGGGTTTCCTCCTTGAAGAACATGAAGAACATGAGCATGAAGAACATGAAGAACATGAATGTTAAAATCATAACTTGTTATTACAAGATCTGAGATTTCATGCTATGAGTTCGAAAACATGGACCTTGATACCCATACTTGAAGATCATATGAAAACAAACACGAAAATATGCATCTTGATACAAACTTTCGGATCAAAACATGGTTTTTCCTCAAGAATACATGAACATCACTTTCTCTTTCTAAAACCGAACTTCAAAACAATGCATGGCTCATGAAACATGGTAGATCATGCAATGCAGCTAGATGAACAATAAGAACAACAAGAGTAGACCAAGAATCTAACCTTAAAATACGGATCTAACGGTTCAAGGTGTGAAGATCAAGCTTGGAAATCTACCTCTCTCTAGAATTCCTCTTCCTCTTCCTCTTCCTCTTCCTAGAGCTTCTCTCTCTTCTAAGACAAGGATATAGCAAATGATATGTTTTTCTCTCTCTGCCGGCTGATTTAACCCTCTACAGGGACACGTGGCACTACCGGATTGGTTCTCCTAAAAAAGGTGATTGAAAGACAAGACAAATGTATGACAAATTGTGTACAACAAGCTAGATGACATGGGCACTCCGGTAGGTAATAATCTCGGCTAAGGACATAGGCTTCGGCAAGTAAGGTCTCAATGATCTCGGCTAGGAAGGATAACACTTGGCCAAGCTGTGACACACCTCGGCCTAGATGTGCCACACCTCGGTCTAGGTCATTCCAGTCCCGGAACAAGATCACTAGGTGCAAGGATCAAGGATCTCGGACGCCTAGGTGATAACATCTCGGCCAATATGCCTAGGTGATGGTGGAGGTCAACCAAAGTGGTTCCAAAATGATCCAAAGTGTAAGAGGTTCAAATGTGTGACCTAAGCTTAGCATGACCTAGGCTTGAGACAGTAAGGAAGGAACAAAGCATGCACACAACACTTAGGCAAAACATGATAGCATCAAGACAAGACAAGAATCTTTACCTAGGCAAAACAAGTCTAAATCTACAAATACAAGCTTAACAAGACAAAATCATAAAAATGCACATGAACATGTCTAAGACATGAATGTGGGTTATTACACATTTTTTGTTTGACTTCTCATTTCAACAACCAAACTACAGGTGTTGTAGCACAGGTCAATTTTATGGCATTCTATAAAGCATTTCTATTTTAGATTATTATTATTTTTTCCCTTGCCGGGTTCATAAAGCAAATCACGTCATACAGAGATGCCGATCTCTGAACGTAAGAGAAGATTACAGATAGAAGCACAATGTATGCATGTGTGAAAAGATTAGCGTTAACCCAAATAACCAATCTTGCAACAACAATTTTCTTGGCAACAGTGAGTAAATGGACAACTACTGGATCAAAGTGAGTAAATAATCAAAAAGGTGTTAAAAACATTGAGTAGGCCAAAAGATCAATGCGGATAAGTAAAACACATCTATCTACATACTAAAGAATCAAAGCATCTCAGCAAAAGGTGGTTTTACATCGGTTTTCTCCACTCAACCAAGTCAATTAGGCCTATAAAATTGATTACAATGATGTTTGGAAAGCATAAACCAATGCTGCAAATGAGATTGCCCTCCATCTCTACAACCAAACAAAATTAACTATAATTTCCTTGCACAAAATGGGGCAAAAAATTGTTTCACTGCTGAGATCCACCAACTAACACATAATAGGAACATGCGCTAGTATCAGCAACATCCAGAGTAAGAAGCAAGCCTGAAAAAAACAACACACAAAAAAAAAATGAAAAAATAGAACAGTAAGAGTAGAAGGGAAGGGAAAAAATAATAATAATAATAATAATGGAAACACAATGAGAATGACAGATAAATCTAAATTCGAAATGGGAGAGAATACCACAATACTATGTTTATTTAATTCAAAACTGCAGTACCATGAGTTAGTACACACTGCAGTATCATAATTATTTAATTTAGATGTTACAAACTTATACAACTGTACTATCAATTTGAAAGTGCAAATGAATTGACAAGACCAATTGAATTAACAAAAATATCAATCTCTCTGATGAGTGATCATGAAACTCAATGAAGTGTTCTACTGTATCAAATTCCAAACGACTTGGAACATTAAAAGTAATATTGCAAGAGTTCTGGATCAACTTATCATGGTTTAGTGCATTAATTGAACATGAATTTTATTGAGTATCGGCTTAGGTCACAATTCCCTCATTAAAGAGACTCAAGTTCGAGTCTCCTTATCTTACCTATCAAAAATTGTATTTAATTGGATTGATTTAGTTCCTTTTGGTGTACTACCTATGTGTCATGCGCAAGAGTATAATTGCCACTGAGAAGGTGATAGGAATTGATGTAAATCTTTTTATCAATTTCAGTAATATTCTTCTGTGGCTACATGACTTTTAATTATTCCTCCCAAATAGTGCCATCACTTCCTTGGGGCCATCGGACTAGAAAAAAACCCTTGAATTAACTATGGTGTACTTGCAGAAAACTCCATGCCGAGAGCTTATGCACCCCTTGGGATTAGTCAGGCGTTGATCTGGATATCCCGGTGCCAATCAAAAAAAAAAAAAAGTATTCCTCCCAAATAGTGCCATCATGTTACAAACAAAAAGATTTAATTAATAAAGAGTAAACAATATAAAGGACTAATGAATTTCGTGAAACCTTTACCCTTGTGCCAATAATCATAAACTGGATAAGCCAATCTTTCCATTCCTGCATGGCAGCAGTTGAATCTCAATAGTAATATGCAGGAGAAATTCTTATATCCATCTTGTGCCTGAGTCTAACAAATCACATAATGTTTTCACCTGATACAGAGAGCACTCTACACAACTGAGAAGTATGAACTACAGAATTCTGGTGAGAACCGTTATCGTTTCATCCATTCTTTAAAGTAAGACTGCATCTTATCTCGATTAGCAGCATTTCCAATATTTACAGTTGGAATTATCTTGTCAGGCCTGAGAAACTGGAAAATGGATAATGACATTGACAATTATTAGTGAGGAATGGCTATCTTATCCATGAGTAAAATTTCAGAATCAAACCTGAACAAACTCTTGTAGTTCTGTGAAGCTGGAGTGCTCGCTATATGGAACTCCTGCAGAAATAGCCATGGCGCGTTGGTTGTCATTGATAACTAGGATCATCTCAAACCATCAAAAAAATCTTGAAAAAGTGGTAGCCAGGTATGGCCAAAACTAAGCTTCCAGCCTCTTGATATAGTAAAAATCAAAGTTTGCTCAATAAACCATATCACAGTGGTTCATATACAGACACTAAATATTTGTATTTGGGGAGGGTTAATCCATCAGTGCTTTGTATGTTAATATTGCTCATAAAATCCCATTCTCACCATAAATTGTGACAATGCCTCTGGAAGTGGGTTTTATTAGGTCCAAGCAATTACCAATCGTTTCAGAGTAAGTCCAACCTGAAGAAGAAGAATAAGCATTCTTCTGCAATTAATAAGAAAAACACCCATATAGATTGCAATGTCAATCAGTTGCAACAGGATCTATGTCTGACCTGTTGGCCTAAATGCCAAAACTGCTGTATACTGATTCATATACGGCTTTAAATAATGCTCTAGGATCTTCAGAGAAAAGAAATGGTGATCATCTGATATAACATCAAAATGGTTCTACCAAAAGATCAAGTGGTCTATTTAGAACCAAACCTCGAATCTCAGAGATGACATGGGCAGTACATGGAGAGGTGTTTCATTCCCTTGTGAACACAGATTCCCAGAAAGTTCAGGCCAACCAAAAGACTGCAGAATACGCCTCCTTGTGGTGTTTGTATATATTTTAACCTACAACATTTATATGAACAGTTATAACTAGTTAAATCTTAATCCGTGTGTCTTTCAGTCTATGAAACAAACTTCACAGCATAACTATGATGCTCTTTTCACATAAGGGGGAGAGAACTTAAGCTAACAAAAGTAGATTCCTTACATGTGGTATTGACAGCCAATGAGATTGTTGTTGCATCTAATGAAAGGCATTATAACATCCATCCAGGAGTTTTAACTTATTGATGAGATTTCATTTCTGAAAACATCTTCAGCAATATTAAGATGATTGAGCAAAATAAAACCCATTAAGTTCAATATAGTTCTCAGTTTTTTATTGTAAATGGGGCATATTATGAGTCAATCATCAACATGGTTTTCAATCAGGCCAAATAATGAATTTCATTAGGTAACTACCACAAGATGAAAAGTGAGAACACACAAGAAGAAGAAAAAATTTAGTCCAGCACCAAAATAAAATGAAAAAATTAGAAAAAGTGAACAAATGTACCCCTAAAGCCTTGGAAATTGCAAGATAAACACATTCCTTCCCGATGCTATACGCCCCAACAATAACAAGGGTTTTGGGTTGCTTCCTCAGAGAGTTCTGCGTGATTCTCACAACAAAACTCATAACATCTTCTTTGGAAGGGAACCTGCTTATAATCTCAAAACTTTAATACATCAATTTTTATAAGTTAGTTTACAAGATCTGATAAGAGCAGTTTCTCACCTGTACTTTGGGTTGCAGTATGTCGTGTCAAGATAAAGTGCCTTGACTCGTTGGTTTATGAGAAGGGGATAAGCATGCATAAGTTTACTGGCTCTAAAGTCTCCGGTGTGCAAATAACGTTGTCCATTTGGAAGACAAAAGTGAATAAGAGCTGCACCGGGGCAGTGATTAGCTTCTAACATTGTCACTTTGATTCCATCGATGACATGTTCAGTACCTAATTCCAAAGGACGGATGAATCTGTAGAGCACAGAAAGCAGATATCAAATTGCAGGATTAAGCAGAGCATGAGGCAAGAGGGAAGATCAATAAAAACAATAACATAGTTACAAAGTGAAATTACCAAAAAGGGGTAATCTACAAATTTTAACTGCATGTATAGTGCATATAACTAAGCAACAATCAAACAGGACAATGAGTTCCTTACAATGGATTAACATATAGACACATTCTGAGCAGCCGAGCGGTGAGAGGGGTACAATAGATGGGGCCATGTGACCATCCCTTGGTCAAGCCACCATAGTGATCAGCATGGAAGTGACTTAGGATATATGCATTGCAACCTTCAATGCAGCCATAGCGGAATGCATCTACAGTGAAGGGTGTCCCTGTTGAATAAAAGAGAGCAAAATAACAAATTTAAAAATTTTCAATTATTTGGTAGCTATTTATTATCTTTTTGCTTTTCAATCTCCCATTTATCTTAATTGCTGATGTGGCAGGGGAGGATAATCAACATAGCATCAATTGTTGGTAACGTTGGGCACGCCAATTATAATGCTGCAAAGGCAGGGGTACTTGGCCTCACAAAAACCATGGCAAGGGAATATGTGAGTAGGAATATTAATGTGAGTTTTCCATATATGTTTCATTTCATTCTTGTAATTAGACACAAGAATGACTTTTTATCTGTTGTAAAATGACTTTTTGTGATGATATGTAACTTTCTGTATGAGTGATTGGTTGATTGACACAATTAAGAGAAATCATTGAGTTAGTTTTTATCTATTTTTTGGGATTAATTAGGGACACCAGAGTTCATGGCTTCAGAATTATATGCTGAAGAATAAAATGAATTGGTTGATAGCTTATTTCTAGTTAATGCCTAGAAATAAATTATTTTTCTGCCTTTTTCTGCTATTTCAAAGCCTCAGAAATGACTGATTTGTTTAAATTGTTTTCCAGGTACAAAACATTCTTCAACAGATGGTGAGTTGTAATGTAGATCTTATGTCACACTAATCTACAGTTATTGATTTATTGATTTGGCTTCCATGTTCTGATGCAGGTATCTAGACCAGTTTTTTTTTGTTATTTATAATTTTTTAAACATTTTGTCAATTACCAAACGTGTTTGTAATTTATGTTTTTCTAAAAATAAACAAAAATCAGTTTATAAAATTTTTATAAATATAAATTGAAAACGTAAACGTCACCAAAAACACCATTACTAAATGAATTGGGGAATTATTCACTACAGGAAGTGAATTAATGATATATTTGCTAATTGACAGCTTTTCGTATAATCGGCTCTTTTTGACAAATGTTCATTTGAATGGAAATAAGAGTTATTGTTTTATGTTAGTGTTACTTTTAAATTTTATTACATGTAATTTTTTTAGTTTAACCACATAAAATTAGCATAATTTTTAAAAAAAAAACAATCAAAAACATAAAGATGGCATTTTTCAAAACCCCACACTTAACGGTTAGTTTTTTAAAATTAAAAAAAGGCTACAGATTGTTATTGGTTTATGAATTGAAAATTTGTTATATTGGTGAAATTCTGAACCCTGTGATCAATACTGGAAAATTGCTACAGATTGTTATTGGTTTATGAATTGAAAATTTGTTGCATTTCCAGTGTTGAATGGACCCAATACAATAGTGGCTGTATGATTGAAATACATGAAAACTTTCTGTGTAGTTGTTTTGTATTAATTATGGGAACTACATGTTTATCCTCATTGCATGTGTAAAAATTTCCATTTCAGGTTGCAGCATCCATGAAGAAGGGTGTGGATTCTCAGATCCCAAACTATCCAAATCTTCCCTCAAAGCTGCTATGCCTCCTTCACAATGTCACGTTGCATGTATAACTGGATTTAATTAGCTTTCATTTCTTTTATGCAAAAACGGGTCAATAGTAGTAATTTCTTGTCATCAGCTAATTCAATCATGTTTATTTCCTAGGCGGATCTAGAAATGGACGAAGTATATGCTCAGATGACGCTTCAACCTGTTCCCTCTGTAAGGACTTGCTGCAATATTAATTGTTGCATTATCCTTGTAGTAAAACTATCCATAAAACAAAGTTGATCGATGAACAAAAAATGAAAAAGAAAGTTTGAAGGTATAGGAAGATTTAGCCCATAATAATGTCCAAGGTAAGAAAGGATTATTACATTTAATTTTAAATTGCCTAATCAAACTGAATCTATCTACACCTTTTGTTACAGTTTGACAAGGATGCATTATTGAGATCAGATCTTTCGATGAAGGCAAATAAACCACAAACAGAGTTTTTTTGCAAAACTTTGACAGCTAGTGATACAAGCACTCATGGAGGTTTCTCTGTACCTCGCCGTGATCAGAGTTTTTTTCACAATGGATTTCTCTTTTATTGGTTTAAAGATAAAATATGAACATTTGATGGGACAACTAAGCAGGCCCTTAGATTTTATTGTCATATGTTCACTGTTCTAAACCTTATGTAGGTATGTATGTAACATATTTTGTATACTTCTTTATATTAACTGAGTTTTATTGGTGACACCTATTATTAATTGATCACAAGGAAGTTATTGACCCTACGCTGGTAATTAGCTGATTAGTGTTTCAATGAATTGTCCATTTCTGTTCAGTAGCTTTCACTATGAAGTTAAAGCACATGCTTGGTGTTTCTAAATGTCACACTAATATGTTGATAATTGATGCAGATTGACTTGTCTTCCCACATTTGATTTTTTTTGCATCTAGTATGTTGGGGCACCATACTCTTGTGATATCAGCTATATGAACCATTTCTTGGGGCCTGAGGTTTGTTCCTATTTTCTTTTCAATTTCTGCTTCTTTTGAACATCACAATGTATGTTAGTGGAATGATGACTCCAACACATCTCCGAATCTGATAAACATATTTTGGTTTGATTTGAAAGTCATGCTGAAAGTACTATATGGTTTTATTCTTGTTTTATTTTTAGAAATGGTTCTTTTTTTTAAAAAAAAAGAAAAAGACAAACTGTAAATTCTGAGCATGACAAGTCAACTATTGGTTTTGGCAGCATTAATACCCAATCAGGTGGGAATGTCATGCCTGGCAATATGTGGAGACTTGATGAAGAAATTGTCTTGCAGAGTACTTCAGCTGATACTTCAACCCAGCAGCAGCAATCTGCAGGTTGATTTCCCACCTTCGGTATGCTCTCAGATAAGGTACAAGTATCAATATTGTGCAAAGCATTAAGTGTTCCTTCATTGCTTGGTTTGCTATATACGTGTAATTTTATTCTGGATTTTTAAGATCCCTTAACATTGCTTTTTTTAATTTGAAGTTATAGTGCATAATGTGATGAATTGATAGCAATCTTTTAGCATAATGCTTCTTTCTTGTTATTAATTTCCTCAACTATTTTCCAGGTCATGTATGTGTTCCAATTGATCCAAACCATTTGTGAAGAATTCAATCCTACAACCGTACCAACCCAATCCAGAAAGATCACTGATGCGGCAGAAAAGATGAAAGAAATGGTGGCAAAAATTGGACTTGTTGAGTCCATTTCAGTGACAGAATTATGTGAATATGCTGCAAATGTTGATATTCCCATTGCAAGAGAGTCAATTCGAGCTGTTGGGAAAATAGCTCTGCAGCAGTATGATGTGAATGCTATTGTAGACAGACTGCTTCAGTTTCTGGAGATGGAAAAGGACTATGTGACAGCTGAAACTCTGGTAAAATTTTTCTGTGCTTGCTGGACACTTGCAATGTTCAATTTGATAATATCTCCAATGCCAACAATGTGAAATTGTAAATGCGTGCAATTTAAACTTTCTTAGTATTGTTGTCCAGATTATTACAACTTTAGAGTTCTTGATGTAGGTGCTTGTAAAAGATCTTCTCAGGAAATATCCTCAATGGAGCCACGATTGTATTGCAGTTGTTGGGAATATCAGCAGCAAAAATGTTCAAGAACCAAAAGCCAAGGCAGCTCTTATTTGGATGTTGGGAGAGTATTGTCAAGACATGCAGGATGCTCCTTATGTCTTGGAAAGTCTAATTGACAGCTGGGATGATGAGCATTCTGCTGAGGTATCACAAGGGTGAACTTTATTTATGTTACTTAACGTGTTGCACCTTCATTTGGGCTTTTCTCATAAGAGTCAGTATTGATTGGATTTTTTTTTATTTTTTACTTTTTACTTTTTAACTAATATGCTTGGCTGATTGAGTTGAGGAATCTTTTAGTTTGCCAAATGCAAAAGGTTGATTTGATGTCTTTGAAATCTAGACACAGATTCTCCTTATAACAGTCCTATGAACTGTTTTTGGGTTTTGCTTTTGGAGCCACCTAAAGGCAAGCAGATTTTTAAACAAGTTGGGACTTTGATTAAAAGTTGTGGAAGACCTGATTTTTTTTGGAAATAAATATCCAACACACACAAACTCACAAATTTCTATCTGGATAGCTGCCCGCCTTCTTAAACTTTATTTGATTGACAATGATATCAGTTCAACATGGGGCAGGTTCACTTCTGACTACCTAAAGGTGAAGTCATAAAAGGCTGAGAGAATACATACAAGTAAATTTAGGACAATTAGAAATAGTGCAGATTCGCTAAATTATTCATTTTTTCCCCCATGAACTTTGTGTGGTTCTTTTGCTTATTGACATAGGGATGGACACAAACTCACAAATTTCTATCTGGATAGCTGCCCGCCTTCTTAAACTTTATTTGATTGACAATGATATCAGTTCAACATGGGGCAGGTTCACTTCTGACTACCTAAAGGTGAAGTCATAAAAGGCTGAGAGAATACATACAAGTAAATTTAGGACAATTAGAAATAGTGCAGATTTGCTAAATTATTCATTTTTCCCCCCATGAACTTTGTGTGGTTCTTTTGCTTATTGACATAGGGATGGCCAGATTGGTATAACCAGATACTTTGCACGGTTTGGACAAAGTTAGTATGTGCATCATCCAGGTAAAGGCAGGGATGGAACTTTTCATACCAAACAGCGAGGGATTTTATGGGTTTTGGATCTTAGTTGCATGAAGCAGAGGCGGGGGCACTTAGAAGAGTCTAATGTTGGGAGCATCTAGGAGAACATTTATGTATTTTATATATAAATATATTGTAAGATATATTTTTGTTCCTTGGTTGTAAGTTTTATGTTAAATTTCTACTTTGCGCCATAATGGCAAAGCCATGTGGCAATGCAAAAGTAGATGGTCAATAAATACTCTCTTCATGCTTCCTACATAAGATGTCTCTGAACAGGCCAGGCTGTAGTTTTAAGCTTATGAATCATGTCATTGGTATTAAGCTTTCTATGAATCATGTCTCTGAACAGGCCAGGCTGTAGTTTCGAGTGGGATCACGGGGCCAAGGGAGGGCTGCTTGAATGCTTAACCCTCCCTATTGCCATCCCTATGACATGAGTTCCACCTGCCTTAGGTATTGTTTGGACAATGGACACTGTTATGGAGAGACACTTCATGCCTTTTGTCCAATAACTTCACATTGAAGCTATAAAATATTTTACTTTTCACTCTTAATGTTTGTCACATGAATGCACAAACTCAAAACAAATTTATGTATTTTTTTTTTTTAAATTAATACAATACAGTTTTAAACATGTGGCCATGTCCTTGTTCCTGTCTGTAGAAGGTAGAGAATTGTTGTGCCTGGCATCCCATGTCTATTTCCACCAATACTTCATTCCTCGTCACATGCAACACCTTTGTATCTTCTCTGATCATAAATTATTACCAAATCTCACCTTAAAGTGCTATATTTTGTCATTTGCTTAAAATCTGTTTGGCCATTCCGCTCTGTTTATAGCACAGATTGAGTGTCATGCCAATTTTCAATTCTCATTTCAAAACTAGTTTCCATCACTTTGCCTAGCCAATTGTCTGTCTGCCATTTCACTACGCTTGGATCCATATCTGTGATGGCAATCTCAAGCTCAATTTTGGTCCTCATACGATTGTTTCGCTGCTGCTTCTGTTTATTTTTATTTTTCGATAAGTTGGAACACTGTTAAAATGTTCCATTGTTTACAAAACCTTCTGTCACTGACATATTTAGTGTGTCTGTATTTCTTCTTTAATATTTTGTGCGTGCATTGGACTCAACTTTCTTTAAAAAGGTCTTCTCCCACTTGAGATCACATTTAGATTTGCTTCAATACTGGCTAACGAAAGATTAGTTTTTTACTTTTTTTTTGTTCTATAAAAGAAGTAAATTCCAGTTATCCAATTTTTATTTATTGATTTAACTCAATTTCAAACCATTTTCAAGAACATGAAGAACATGCAAACATGCATGAATTCAAATCAATTCAAAGCTCCAACTTGATGCTCTAAGGAGCCAATTCTTTTCAAAACATGGTGAAATCATGGATTTAACATAAACATGAACATGCATGCACCAATTACCATGAATTCAACTCCAAACTCATTAATTCCAACATGCATGCATGAATTACACTCTATAACAACATGTATGTACCAAAACGTGGCCTTGCTCTACAATTGAAGCATGAATTGTGCAAGAATGAGTTCTAAGACAACAACAAGGAGATGGATGTCCTACCTTAGTCTTGTGCTTAAGGTCTAGGAGCTCAAAGTAGCAATCAACACTTCAATCCTCAAGCAATTCCAAGCAATTCAAGATGAAAACCAACTCCTCAAGTCTCTCTCTCTCTAGGGTCGGTTGAGGCTCAAAATGTGAGAAGAAGTGTGGGTTTAATCAATACGTGGAGTGTTTACAAGGCTCATGTGTGTGTGTGTGTGAGTGGCCCACTTAGTGGCAAGTTGGTAATTATGGCAAACTCTGCAATTAACTCATTTTAATCTAATTTAATCATACCTAATCAGTTTTCAGATAATTATACCATAAAATCACATTAATTCTGACGATCATAGAACACTAATCGGTTTCTGATTCGGCCGCCGATAAGGCCTTCAATTAGCAGTTTATACATATAAGCATGAACAGATAATCATACGGTCAAACAGATAGGACGCAATTAACTAACATATACTCAATCAATTCAGTTTTCCAAATTCGGTCAGTCAGTTCAATATTTCATTCAGTTCGATTATCAGTCATGATCAGTTCAGTTATCGGTAATCAATGTTTAACGGTAATCAGTGGTGAGGGTTATTACAACCACACACTTTTACGGTATGTTTCTGCTGTGACATTTTTACATACATAAATAATTAGCCTCCTTTTGGGATGAAGTAGTTTCAATGAAGTTTGTTAAGCTCTTTATGTAGCATTGTTTGAGTATTGTGTGGTGAAGTGTGAATCAGGTAAAGATGATGTTCTGTTTGGAGTAATTTTACTATTACATATATTTACAGTGGTTTTCTTCCATGATGCCTCTTATTGGATTAAATTCTTGCCTCATTCAAATACTACAATGCAAATTACCTCTTTCTCCATTCTCATTGTTTCTTGGTTCTTAATTAGAGTGTAGCTGTGACTTGGTACAATGGCATTGTGGAAAGTACTGTCCAACTCCAGTCTTGCGGTGCAGGTTAGCCTAACATGGCAGCGTATGATTCGCAGCGTCGGGAGCTTCCACCACCGGTCACGGTGTGGGAATGGGGATGGACAAAAAGTGTTGAAACTTGGAATAATTGTAGTGTAGTGATATGAAGAAAATATGGAACTGAAAATAAATGGGGCAACAAAACGAAGCACTAAACTAGCAAGTTCTCAATGTTAGAAACATATTTTTCTTTAGCATGTCAATATATCTGATTTGTGATGGAGACATTGCAGTGAAGTTGAAATCAAGGCTCAATGATGCCCTTTTTTTTTGGTGGCTTGATTATCTGCTGTAGGTTGTATTCCTACTCATTTGCTAACAACCGACCTTGTGCAAAAAAAAGTTTGTATTCCTTTTCCGTCTCCCTTTTGTCTTCTAAATTAGTAGTTTATTTGAAAATCATTTTATGCATTTGATATAGCGATCCCGGGTTTACCCTTGTTGTATAGTGATCCGGACATGTGTCCGTGGATGTTGGTAGTTGTTTATTATCTTGTTTACAAAGTTAATTAGGAAGTTTAAACTCATGCTGTTAGTATCAATTCTTTTACATGTTCATAATCTAATCACAAAATTGGAAACAACTCTTATATATGGTGAGACCCACCTCATGTGAGAGAATTGACAACTTTCTTCATCTCTAATAGTAGTACAACCTTAAACTTTTGAAAAACATTTGTCATAGATAGCATTAGTTGTAATTAAGGTTGACAAGAAAACAATAAAATTGTTAATCACATATACCACATGCATAGATTTATATGTTTACTACTATAATATGAGAGGGAGTTACATATTGCTACAGTAATTTATAGCTATCTTTTTTTATTCCCATTTTCCCCTCATATTTTGTTCAGACTACTTTACTATGTTTGGACTATTTTATAATTTGATGGCCCAACTCTGTGTTAGATTGCCATGTCAAGGTCAGCTGCTCTCATTATTGTTCACATGGCCACTCCCTTTGTTTCAAGGAGAAAGAGCACGTCTCCATCATTTTACACTCTCTGCGGTTCAGTCTCTGTGGAAAATCTCGAACATGTGGATCACAATGGGTTCACGATCTCGACCGAAGATGGGGTAACAAGGAAGATCTCCACCGAAGATGGGTTCACTAAGTAATTTTTTAACTGAGCAGGTGAACTAGAACTTCATGTTTCCCCTTTTATTTTGAAATTTGCATTAGTAGGGGATGCTTTGGAACTTATGTTGCACAATACTGATCTTGGAAATCAATTTTTTCATCTTCTTATTAGCTGGAAGCCATTAAGATCTCAAAATATGTTGCTCAGAATATGGTGGGCAAAGGACATGGTATGAATTCAAATTCCTCTGTTCAACCTTTGATCCCCTTTTTACTCTATTTACCCTTGGTATACTTTTGTTGCTTCCTTTATTTGTTTCCCTTTTTGCAGCGATTTTCCTCTTTAATTATATTTCGAGTATTGTTTAGTTTAGGTAGAGAATACATATAATTTATTTAAATTATGGTTTGTTGAATTCTGGAATTAGAGTAGTGCCACTTTCATTTCAGATTTGGCTGATGCTGTGATTGAAAGTCTTCTATACGTTGGAGCGATGGCAGTCTCAAATCTTGAAGCTCGACAGGTCCAACTTTGGACATTTATATTTATAACATGGAACTAATAATACATTTTTTTTTGCAGTTATTTTATTCCTTGGTGCCTGCACAAAGCCTCCTCGGCTGTCCATGGTGACTGAATACGTGGAAATGGGATCATTATATCATTTAATCCATGTGAGTGGGCTGAAAAAGAGACTCAGCTGGAGAAGGAGAGTGAAAATGATATGTGATATATGCAGGTGCATTTGACCATCAACTTTTCCATTGCTCTACCTCATTGACATAGCACATTTATGTTGGTACTACTGCTAAATAAGTAACTTATGGTTGCTTTTGGAGCTCAGTATATTTTCTTATGTTGGTATATTTGCTTTTGCATTAATGAATGAGTATTTCTTCACTACAGGAAATATCTGTTGTGGAAAATGATTACTCTTTTTTTTATATTTACCATAGGCCTATATTGTTCAATTAAATGTTGAAGGTGTATTTCCTCGTTAAGTATTTTGTAATTTTTCAGCTGAGTTTAAAATGAAAAGGTTATTATTCCTTTTGTCATTTGCAATGACTACTTGTTCAAGCTTTTGCTGATTGGAGATTCTGGAGTTGGAAAATCATGTCTTCTTCTGAGATTTGCTGTAAGTGCTTTGGAATGTTTTTCACTCTCTCCTATATTTCTTCTTTTTAATGAAAATCTAGTTGTAGTTGTAGACAAATTTGTAGTTTATCTGATTTTCCCTTTTGTAGTTTATCTGTGTTGCATCTATAATATATATAAATGTTGACATATATTTGTATCTGTTTGTCTTTACATACATATATTAGGTTTGTGGATACCATATTCTGAATCTGAGTAAACAAAATTTGAATCTTACCTACTTTATAGTTGATTCTGTTATGGGAAAGAATGCAGAGTATGTGGGTTATTTATTGGGAATTTGAATCCCAAATGAAAGGCCCACAGTTTTGAATCAAATATAAGATATTTATTGGGTATTTGTGCATGTGCCTTCAGAAATTACTGTTCTGTTGTTTGATTCTCCTCTTGAGCTCTGTTCTGTTCCTCACTGTCACTGCGAGAACGCCGATCTTCAAGGTATGTTTCGTTTCTCTACTTTCTTTT